TCCTAAACTCCTGGTCCTCATCACAACTTTACTGGCTGCTTTCATGGACTTGGATCGCCTCTTCTCATCGGTGATGGGTCTGGGAATCTCATGATGAGACTTTGTAGATGTGGACATTGCGTTTCCTCTCCTCTGGCAGGAAGGTGATGCTGCTGGAGAGCTGGTGAAGACCGACCCCTCTGATTGGTTGGAGGCCGTGCTCTCTAGAGAAGAACACGAGCAGTCCTTGACTCGGTTACCTGTCATGTAAGACAGGTCTATGTTGCTGCTCAGTTTGGGAAAAGACAGGACGTGTCTGTCTCCACCTCGTCTCCTGAGCAGGAAGGAGTCATCAGAAATCTGCTTCTTCAGCGGCAGCTCCGCAAAGTCCGTCCTTTCCAGGGAGCAGTCCTCGTGGCTCCTGGCGTGGCCACTCAGACCCTGGAGATCGGGCGAGGTGAGGATGATGGGCTCAGAGCAGCGGCGACTGTAAGGGGGCTTCGAATTAGGGATGACGTCAGACGCCCAAGAGGCGTTGGAGGCGGTGGTGCAGGGGCTGAGAGAAGATAAGGAGCCGCAGCCCTCGCACGTGGAGGTGACGCTGTCCGCTGCTTCTCCATCTCCATCTGGGTCAGTGCTGTCGTAGGCGGAGTCATGGTGGTTGGAGGACACGGAGTCTGTGGTGGGAAAATGAAGATATTCCACAGTTAATTCAACTATTCTCATTCACTCAGTTTGAAAGAGGTTATAATTTTATAGGTTAGCCTGTCGCCCAACTAGCACATATGGCTAGTTATTTCAGAATGTGAAAAATGATAATAGATGTTTCACTGGAGTTTTCTCCGTATAACTGTACCTTCATCAGTGTCCAGCAGAGTAGGGATGTTCTCTCCAAGAATCTCAAAGTTTTCAATCAGGACCCGCGTCAGCTTCGAGACCTGAAGCCAATGAAAAACAGAAACACGTTCAGCCAAAAAAAATCTTTTTGGTTCTATTGGCATAAACAGGTGTCTGTGAAGGTATCACGTCGAGTGCTCAGATGTAGGAGAGCTGTGAAACCATCTTTTCTGCACGAGGAACCACAAGGCTTCAAAGGGAGACAAAAAACACACACTCATAACAACGTGTACCTTCTCTGTCTTGTCCTTCTGCTCATCCAACGCAGCTCCACCCAGCTGAAGCAGGGTGGGGGCGATGCAAACCGCCAGGTTGTGGGCGTCCATTTTGTTGACGTTGGCATTCTCCAAGATGTGATGGAGGACGCAGAGCAGACGCTGGAGGAGGAGTTTGTTGTGCCCTGGGAGTTTGTCTGCGACCCTGGTGGGTGGGTGGCAAAAAGAGGAAGAAAGGAAGAGGAAACAAAGAAGAGGAAGATGAGTTTGGCAGCCTTTTTTTTTTTAAAACTTCCCTTTTGTAACAGAGGACAGATAAAAAAATAATTGTGGTTTTAGCCCAGGCTGGTGGAGAACATTGACAAAAGTCCTAACCACAAGACATTCAGA